CCCCAAAACCCCAAAACCCCAAAACCCCGCAATTTCAAATTTTTATTAAAATACAGATAAAGGAATAGATATATTTTATAAACAAAATTAATTATCAATAATTGTATTTATATTGAGTTAGTGAATATCGTTCAATTTAGTATCTACTGCTTGGCAGTTGTCAATACCTATCTCGCTCTATTGTATCTTAGATCTGCGCTTGTTTACATTTTATCTTTGTCATTCAACTCATTAGTCTATTGACTCTGCTTTGAATCGTTGAATCTGTTTTAGTTGAGTTTACTTATATTATCCAAGGCTTATGACTAAAGTGATTAAAGTGTTTGATTTCTTAAAGTAAATTCAAGCTGCTGCGACATCTCGCTTTGATCTTTACTTGAGCTAATTCCTCTAATTAGTCCATTATTGCCACTAATACTATTATTCTACATGAAGCTACTATTAATGTTGATATCGTCTACATCAATTAAATCTTGATGTAAAGATGTACTTATTTTCTAGAATCTCTTGTTCAAGTCTTTGACTTCTTCTATGATTTCTGGGTTATTATCAAAGGCTGACTGCTTCTTTAAGATGAATTTAGGCTTCTTCAGTTCATCCTTCTTTTACAGATATTAGTTGACAATGGTCTTCAAGTTTTGCTCTGTTGGTTCCTAAACCTAGATTCTTTAAATATGAAACTTCTTTATTGGGGATCTAGTGGGATTTTTATTTTACTGAGACGGATCAACCATCAAAGACTTCGAAGATTACCTCTATTATTTAAGTAACTTTTCTTGGGAGTTGCAGTGTGGACTACTGCAGTAATCATTGCCCTACTTCTAGCTTGTCTTTAAATTTAGTATTTGATTAGGATATTTTTATTTCTGCAACTCTTTCAAAGCTATTTTCTTTTGAGATATCTGGGAATAATTCTAGGTTGTATGTCTTGATGTGTTAATTGGAGATTAATTCTCTCTGTAGGAAATATTAGCTTTTTCTTGCTGGCTAGTTTGCTCATCTTGGAATGGGTATGCTGTAATTTAAGGCTTGAACACACAGTCTTTCTATTCATCTTAATTTTGTTGCATTCTCTTAATCTTATTCTATATATCTATCTGGCTTTTCCATTGAACTGTCCTCTCATAAGTATTTTCTCCTTATGATTTTTATTGGTAACGAGGTGTCAATTCTTTTAAAGGTGATCTTGATCTGCTACCTCTGACTTAGTTATAAGATTGATCAATTGATCTTAAATTTTAACGAAAGAGATCATCTTTATTTCTAGGGTTCAATTTCTTGATTACTTTATGCTGCTCTATGTTACTAGGCTTTCCATGTAGTATTTACTGATTGAAATAAGAGTTGTTATTATCAGATTCATCTTTGAATTACTTGATTTTAGTTATTATTGAGGATTATTTTTTGTGTTTCAAATCTTTTTATGGAATAAGTCTTTGATTGTTATAGTGGTTTCTCTCTGATCTTTGTGGCTCTTAATAGCTTCTTTACTATTTCTGCATTTAAGAATCTACAATATCTTCTAAAGCGCTAGTATCTCTTTGATTTATTGAATCAAATTTCATGTTATATTACTAACATAATTTTTTCAACATATTTTCGCCTTAATCGTACGATGAGTTAATTAGTTTAGGTTCATATACAGTCGGCTATATTTCAACTTATCTTGACATTCTTACTTGATTATAATCCTCTATATTCGGGCCAAAGCTATGATAATTATTATCATCGGTTTTATTATCAAACCTTTTAATATATTCACTTTATGGTCTGTAATCCTATTAAAATTTAACTTTCTTTTCAGATTAAAATCTAAGCTACTTCTTTACTTCATCATTTTTATTACTTGCTAATCTTGAATTGGCTCTATTAAGCTAACTATTAGATCTCTGATGACTATTGATCTATTGAACTGGAGTAGACTATCTCTTTTCAACAACACTATGATCATTGAGCCAGCCGTTAACATTTTTGAAAGTATGTTCTTGAATGTAATGAATTTTATGATTTTCTTTATTCTCTCCATGATTGCTGCAATGATCTATTGTGCTGTGAGAATGTTTGTAGTAACAATTTTGATGCCTTCTCAGCTATTCTTACAAGTCATAAGTTGAGATAGATGGCCCATTTTCTATTATTTATTGGGACTTTTTACAAATTGTAGGCTTATCTTTCATTTTACTATCTATCTCATCATTCCTAGCTTATTTCTTTTAATCGAGTCTATACTAATAAATTTAATGCTGCTTATAAAGCCTCTCTCCAGATTATTTAGCTTCTTTTGGAGTAAATTTTATTGGTTCTAAGTCTTGCTCATATTATTTTAAGAAACCATTTTGCTTGCTTATACTGTTATTGAAGGAATTATTGGATTTAGAGTTATCTCTCTATTTTTAGCAACTTGCACTTCTTGGAGGTTTGTAACCACCAGTATTGCACTTTTTTGTAGATGACTACGCTCTTTATTATGGAGGATTTATGTTATATGGTGATTTTTCAAGCATAAAACTATATACATCGAGGTTTCTTGGGTCTCCAAGTCCGATCGCTTAGTTGTTATAGGAGTTTTGCTATTTTTCATTTGATTATACTAGTATTATGGATTATTAATTTTATGACTTAGAATTGGATTTTCTCGAGAAATCATTTGAAAACTGATCTCAATTATTAAACCTATTTTGATTAATCGGAGTCTGAAAACTATTATTGTTGTTGTTATAATGATCTCTTTCTTATTTTACAAAATTTGAGGTTCTTTCATTCAGTATATCATTCGCCATTTAAATTGACATTTAGGGCTATACTTGGTTAAACTAATAACTCTTCTGATAATTGTTCTGCTAATGAATACTATTGGGCATATCAATATTGTTAAAATTATTAATATCATTTTGAGATACCAATTATTGATATTGCTGAGTATTTTAATTCGTGCTTGTTTAACTTCTATGAGTTGATATGCTTTATTATTCTTGGCTCATTAATTGTTAGTGTGAAGCTTCCAAATGCTTTTTAAGATCTTAAATATCTATATTTATGTTTTTCAATTGTTGAACTTCCTACAACTGAATCACTCTACTACTATCCTGACTTTATCTAATCGATTTATCCTGCATTCTCTAAAGCAGCATTTTACTGACAACCTCATTTTCAATGTTCTGAATTATCTTTATTTTATTTTCATTAACGATTGATGTTTGTGGAGTAGATAGGTCTACTTTAATTGAATTCAGACGATTTTCAATGTTAAAATTAAGATTCATGTTCTTGTTAGGGGTTGTGGACTGAGAATTAGTTTCTTGAAAATTAGTTTATCTCGCGGTAGATAATCTCGAGTTATGATCTCTTAAACTATCTCTTATTTTTATATAAGACTAAAGTATTTCACTATCATTGTCTCCCATATGTAAGTTTCTCATATACTAGTTATCAGTTTTGAAAATTATTGGAGAAACACTTGATTAAGGCTCTAAATCATAGCTTTAGATTAATGATGGATTCTTAGTAGGAGTAATAGAACTGAAAATAACGTCTTTGTTATATGATTCCATTGTTATTATCTATTTTACTGTTAATTTTTAAACAATCCTCACCGATTTATTCTCTATTTTAATTCAATGGGGTTTTGGGGTTTTGGGGTTTTGGGG